GCCGCGGCCACCACTGCCCCGTGGCACTGAGGCCTCGTCTCCACGCTGTGTGAACACTTGCAGGGCCGGTGACTGCAGCCTGCCCTGGGCAGCCTGTTCCAATGCCTGAGCACCCTCTGGGGCAGGAATTGTTCCTCAGCTCCATCTAAACCTGCCCTGGGGCAGCTTGAGGCCGTTTCCTCTTGTCCCATCCCTTGTTCCCTGGGAGCAGAGCCCAGCCCCTCCTGGCTCCATCCTCCTGTCAGGCACTTGTAGGGAGCCATCAGGTCCCCCCTGAGCCTTCTCTTCTCCACACTGAACCCCCCAGGTCCCTCAGCCCTTCCCCATCACCCTTGTGCTCCAGGCCCTGCACCAGCTCCGATGCCCTTCTCTGGCCCCGCTCCAGCACCTCAATGTCTCTCTTGCAGTGAGGGGCCCAGAGCTGAGCACAGGATTTGAGGTGCAGCCTCACCAGTGCCCAGTGCAGGGGCACAGTCACTGCCCTGGCCCTGCTGCCACACTGCTGCTGTTGCCCTTCTTGGCTGCCTGGGCACAAGGTGGCTCATATTGAACTCCATCAATGGGCACCCCCAGCTCCTTTTCCATGGGCAGCCTTCCAGCCACTCTTCCCCAAGCCTGTCATGTAGGACCCAGTCTTGCAAAGGCTTAGAGGTGTGCTTTATTTCTGCCCTCTGTAGCTCCATCCAAGTCAGTGAGAGCTCAAACTGACAAAACGGGAGTCTTAAGAGCTCACCCAGAAGCGTAAATTTGTAGAACCAGGCCTGAGATCTTTTTATGATGCAGTAGAGAAGAAGTTTGAAGTCAGGGGCCACAAGAAGAAAACACAGGATTAAAAAGGCCTAAATGGAAGTAGCCCAGCCCCAGCTGTAGAGGGAATTCCCCTCTGGTTCTCACCCTGTGTCCTGCCACGCTTTCCGTTTCAATCAGATCTCTTTTGTGGTGACAGTCCTTGGGATAATTTGGGTAACAACATGAGTGGAAACTTGGCTGTTTATCCTCAAAGCTGTTCAGGCTCCTGCTGAGCATTGCTTTCACAGCTGATGATGAAGAACTTTTTATCCACTGAAAGGGTCACTTTCATTGTATACACGTCCACAAATGGGCACCCTCACTTGAGGTCGAGAACCTCAAGGGGCGGCTGTTGTTGGGATGTGAGATGGAAGACTTTAGTGGTGCTCTTTTAACGTTTCCTCTGTTGGCTCTTCCGCTGTCCAGCTCTACACAGTATGGTTAACCCTTGAATGCTCAGAAATGTAGAGAGGCGTTGGCATTTCAGGCATCAAATATGTGTCCTGAAACGAAACACACCCAGCTCAGGAGCTGATTTGATGTACAAGAAGCTTGCTGTTACAAACAAATCCACATTTCACCTGGTTCTGGACAAGACGTTGCAAGAGCAATAGCTAAGGAGAGAGGAACAAAAATCATGGCTTCCTCCAAGGAAGAAATGGAAGCAAGTGTTGAAGGCAGCCCCTGCACAGAACTCCATTCAAACAGGTGCTTTACTTGCACTTCAAGATTTAAATATGGTTAAAATTGCGTGCATGGGGAAGTAGGAGCAGTGTATTGAGGCCTGGAGGAATAAAAGCCCTTTAGAGCGATTCTTCCCTGGTTATAAATGCTCCTCTTAGTGTTTTTCTGAAGTTCTTAGAGTAAAATCTTGGTAATGTAAATGTCATTAAAAGAAAAGCTGTGTTTTCCCAGGGCATGATTGCCAGCTCTCCTGTGATTGTTCTCTAGATTCCCACTTCAAGAAAACTAACAAAATGGTTATTGGATTGAAAAGTTATGCTTTGTAAGTAAATGTCACTTTTAAATACCTCAGCTATTATGTTTGTGTTTGCATTACTGTAGGGATTTAAATGGTACCATTTACGTATTTAATCCAATTCTCAAATGTTCACTTAGCGAGCTAAAATTAAGATCGGTTGTGTAAGTGGAGCAGCTTGCTGGCTGTGGAGAAGCTGATTGAAGCTGCTGGACGGGGGACTAAAAGGCAGACACACCAGCTTATGCTTGGGTTGTGAAAGCAGCCTGTTTAATAGCATGTAAGTTTTGGGTTGAAATCAGAATGGAGTCTCTGGAAATATGGGACAGGCTGGCAGCATCGTTGCCAGGGAAAGGCTAAGGACAGGTACTCGGGTCAGGTGTGTCTGTGTGTGTCTTCAGGTAATTCTTACTATGCATAGCATTCTCTCAGTATTTGTCTGTATTTATATCTCCCAGATGTTGTGAGATATTTAATGTGCACAGAGTTCTCTTCCCCATTCTCTTCTCTCCATCTAACATGCGCAACATTTTCTTCTGACGACATGAGGTCTAGCCAGCCTCGGAGTGGTTGGCAAAGCCTGGCCTAAGGCGTTCCCGAGTTCCTCTCCGACAGCCTGCCTAGAAATCTCTGTTCTTTCACCTCTGGAGTTCTGGTAGGAATTGACTGTAGATCCCGTAAGTCGATGCTTCATCTTTAGATACTCTCAGCCTGCATTTTCTGATGCTAAGCATCTTCCGTAGGTCTAATCTTCCTGTCTGTAATATCTGTGGCTTGTAAGGGGCACCAGTGTTACCCATCCCTCCCAAATAACCTGGAGGGATGTGACCAATGATCATCCTCAACTCTACTTGCCTTGACACCCTTTTCTCTTTAAAAACCACTTTATTGCTTTCCTTCATTTATCCATCTTTGGGCCATTGCCTGCACATCGATGGTACATGTGTAATCTGCTTGTGAGCTGTTAAATTCTGCTAGGAGGGTGTCCCTTTGAGTTGTGGTAGTCTGCCATGAGGAGCCGTGATGACTTTTATGTCCTCATAGTCCCTGAAATGGGCGTTTTGAACTTCTCTGTGGATTTTCTGTGATTAGAGATGGGAATAGTCTTAACTGCTGCGTGGAAGCTTAACATGAGATATTTATGTAATGCTGTGCTGCATGTGGTGCAGCAGATCCGTGTGCTCTCCAGCAACCTCTCTGTTTGTGTAAACCCCGAGTTTGCAGTCAGGGTACAGAGGGACTGGGGCATAGCTTGCAGGTAGATGGTAGTGTCAAGAAGAAGGAAAAACGTTGGCAAGATTCTGATGGTCAGATGGAGAAAGCAAAACGCGTTTCTGTAACAACAAGGGCTCTTGTGGTGGTTCTTTTGCAGGCCAGCTTGGATTCTGTCAGAGCACAAAGTGCCAGGCGTGGAGGCAGGTTGTGTCCCTGGCTGCGCGCTGAGCTGCCTGTTACTTATCCACAGGACTGCCCACGCAAGAGTGTGTGCACGCGTGGATATGGGGGAGGTAGGAAGTGGATCACAAGGGGGATAGTGAGGCAAGAAGTAGGTTTGCTCCTGATGTGTTCTGTGATGTGGTAATGGGGTTTTCCCACTTTTTTCCTGCACAAACTCCACAGGCGCATGCAGAACTGCTCTTCACCCTGGCTGAGAGAAGTCATTCAACATCCATCAGGCCTTGATAGCTACTGAAATAGTGGGAATGCACTAACCAGGGAGGGCAGAGCATGCTGCCTGAGGGCAGTTAGTGCCCTTGTGTCAAGAAGGCACGATTGTGTCGGTTTGTCTTTATGTGCTGAGAAAAGAGTAGACCTGAGGAGAACATAGGGAGGGGAGGGGGAAGAAAAGCACAACAGAAATGAAAACTATTGATCTTAATTTCTGTTTATTTTCCTATGCCTAGTAAAAAGCACACTGGTACCGAAAATGGCTATAAACGTAATCGCATGCTCCCTGTAGCAGGCTGAAGTGCTGTGTTGATGTTAGGCTTATAGAGAAATGGGACAATTTGAGAGTTGGTTTTTTTTAATGACTCTTCTGTTTAGGTTTTAGTCACTCTCATCAGTTTGTTTTCCCGTCACTGAATTTTCTTACTTCCTAACATGAGGAATAAAGCATTCAGATTAATTTCCCCTTTAAATTTTTAAGCTGGTATTTATCTCTGAATGTAAAACCTGATAACCAGAAATAGAAATCTCATTGCAAAAAGATTTCCTTTCATTATCTTATCAAGCAGAAATAGTCTCAAATACGAGTACAGTGCGTGATGCCAGAGGAATGACAGCTCAGGAGGACCATGGCCACCAGTTCACCTAGACTTCATCTCCTTGCTGGTACCCAGCAGCTGGGTGGTGATTCTGTTGCCTGATGATTTCCAGGTGTTAACAGAAATATGTGACTGGCTGGCGAGTGGCCATGCCTTACTTGGAAAATACCAGGAGTGGCTGTAGCTCTCCAGGCAGGAGGAAGTGACCCCAAAACCAATGTCAGCTTTCAGAATGACATTGCTTCTGGTAATCTTACTGAACGAGCACTGGTGTCTGGACACTTACAAGCATCAGTTAGAGACTAAGGTTCTGAATCCTGGATTCAGTTTAAATACAGAATATAATTGCGTGCAGGGTGCTTCATATAGGATTGCAGGGGGTGGGCTGGTACACGAGCTCTGAAGGTCCTTAGGCAGGCACAGAACCCCAGACTGGTTTGGGTTAGAAGGGACCTTAAAGCTCATCCAGTTCCAGCCCCCTGCCACGGGCAGGGACACCTTCCACTGGAGCAGCTTGCTCCAAGCCCCTGCGTCTGACCTGGCCTTGAGCACTGCCAGGGATGGGGCAGCCACAGCTTCTCTGGGCACCCTGTGCCAGCGCCTCAGCACCCTCACATTAAGACTACATGTAATTTCTGTGTGTATAGGAGTTAACTTACAACTGCTGCAGTTGAAAGACCCGAACATTTGTCTTTCGCACTTGAGAACGGTTTATGATAGATATTTGCCTAATACGGAGTTCCTGTGACTACAAAATTGTCTCTTCACCCAATGGTACGTGCACATACTTTGTAAAGCAGTCTACAGCTTTGGAGAAACTAGGGCAGGTAAACGGAGAATGTCAGGTAATTGTTCAGATTCTTTCTTTATGCCACAAAATAGCAGATCTGTTCTGTAGCTGTCGTTCTTCCCAGATTTAAGTGAAATCCCCAAATAATGCCGCTGATCTGTTGTTTCCCCTACAGGTACATCTATGTTCCAATGGGAGGATCTCAGTCCAGTCTGCTGGGAACACTCTTCTCCACAGCCCTCACTTTTGCCTTTGTCAGCTATTGGCACGGAGGGCAGAGCTACCTGTGGTACTGGGGAGCACTGAACTGGCTTGGAGTAATTGTGGAAAGTGGCATCAGGAAGATACTTTCTATTTCACCTATTCAAGATTTAATTGTAAGTTGAATCTTTCTTCATTTCATAGAATCGTAGAATGGTTAGGGTTGGAAAGGACCTTAAGATCATCTCGTTCCAACCCCCTGCCGTGTTCTTGTTTCCGTGCTCCTCTGAAGTTCCTGGCTGCTAGTTTGATTCTGTGTAGATTAGAAGTTGCAGATAACAGCTAAGAGTTAGCATTCCCTTGCCCACCCTCAGTGTTTAAGGTAAGCCATGTAACTAGAATTCTGCAAAGTACCAGCAAATAAAATGCTGGAATACGGTCTTAAAAGCTTCCTCTGCAGTCCTGCTGTAAGAAGCTGCTTGTCACATTGCCTGAACAGAAGCCAGTTTTAACATTTGTATTTGGATTTCACTCAGGATGCCCTTAAAATAGTCATCTTCACTAAAATTAGGAGTATGTATTTCTAACCATGTGTTTCCTGGACAAATGCGTATGGAGCAGCTGCTTGCATCTGGTAACAAGCTTACGCTGGGAAATCTTATGCCACTCAAGAGCCAAGTAATGAAAATATTATTTTGCTTTAAAGGCCTCTGATATTTTCACTGTATTTATAATTTTGACCTTCATGATGTCACTTCCAAAGGACAAAACTGTCCTTGAAGCGCAGGCATGTGCAAAACACAGTGTTTTTAATCTTGAGGGTCGTTTTAGTCTGCAGGTTTGCTCACCGTTAAATCCCAGATCTTCTAATGACTTTGTAAGGATAAGTAATTCCTGTGTCTTGCTTCCTTAGTAGTGATAAGTGCACATAATTTGTTTTCCTATATAATGTGATGGTGGTGGTGGTGACTCACTCTGCAGCCTGATAAAGTCCCGATGCTCAAGTAATTCTGCTTGTTGGCCCTCCCACCCATCTCAGTTTTCACTGTTGTGGCATCCCATGTGTGGCAACTGATAGAGCAAAGTCATTTAGTAGCTAATAACAGCCAGTGCTAGCTTGTGTCATCCAACTGGCCATCACTATGAATTCAGCGACAGTCTGGAAGCAGCTTTTTTCCTTCCTAGAGAATGAGTTTATCAGACCCATTAATCCTCCCTCTAGGGTGAAAGCTGCATACATTTGCCTCTGGTCTGGAAGACAGCATAGTTTTTCAGGCCTGCAGCTGTGAGGAAATCCGAGTGTTGAGGTTCTTTGTATCTGATGTCACTGTATCAGAAATTTTAAAAGAACTCTTGATTAAGTGCTTAAATTCCATAGAAATGGGAAGGATGTTTCATTATGAGGGGGAGGTTAGATGTGTTGGATTAATTTCTAAAGCATAGTTGTAATTATATGCTGGCAGTAGGGCTCTTTCTTGTGTAAATGAATTCCCTAACAACGAACCAAATGCCTTTTACCCTTCCCCTTTGTTTTCATCCAGTGTTAAGGGCCTATCCCACGTCTTCAATGTCTCCTTTTTTCCTGTTTCTCTTTGGAAACATGGCTGCAGGCCTTCCTTAGAAGACACGTTCACATCTTTCCCTGAACTCTTTCTGACACCAGTATTTGTAATATGAATGGTTTGGCATCTGCATTACGCATTAGGCAGATCTTCCTGCATTCAGTTGCGGTTGAATCATGCTTGCTTTGCCTTGTGCCTTGAAGGTTTCTCTCCAGCAACATGAGCTCCAGTCTTTGCATGCTCTCTCCTCACACTTAGAACAAATACCCATTGACTTCTTGAGCACTGACACTGGGGAGCGACAAGCGGTTGGACTTTGACCCTTCCCTGTCAAGAGGTGATGTGGCATTTGCATTTTATCTCTTGGCCAGGTGAAATCCTTTGCATTCTTGTATCACAGTATCACAGTATGCTAGAGATTGGAAGGGACCTTGAAAGAGCATCTAGTCCAATCCCCCTGCCGGAGCAGGAACACCTAGATAATGTTACACAGGAATGTGTCCAGGCAGGTTTTGAATGTCTCCAGGGAAGGAGACTCCACAACCTCCCTGGGCAGCCTGTTCCAGTGTTCCATCACCCTCACTGAGAAGTTTCTTCTCCAGTTTAAGTGGAACCTCTTGTGTTCCAGTTTGTACCCATTACCCCTTGTCCTATCATTGTTTGCCACTGAGTAGAGCCTGGCTCCATCCTCGTGACACTCCCCCTTTATATATTTATAGACACTGATAAGGTCACCCCTCAGTCTCCTCTTCTCCAAACTATAGAGACCCAGCTCCCTCAGTCTTTCCTCATAAGGGAGATGCTCCACTCCCTTAATCATCTTGGTTGCCCTGCACTGGACTCTCTCCAGCAGCTCCCTGTCCTTCTTGAACTGAGGGGCCCAGAAGCTCCCTTGCTCTGTTTGCTCTTGCAGGCTGTTTTTAAAAAGGAAAGTTCATTTTTGTCCTCAGAATAGCAGATGAGTTTCTGAAGAACACACAAAGCCCAGGTTTCTGCTTCTTTTAACCCCTTCTGTTCCCCAGACCTCCTCATCTATGGGTGTTCATGTTGAGTTCCATAATTGAGTTGAGCAGCAGATGTTTAATCAGTAAAATCTAGTTAAGAAAAGCTCAAAGAGTAAGTTGTATTTTAATCTTGCTGGGCTTAAAGTGGAATTGATCCCAAAGGATGACAATAATTGTATCAAAACTGCTTCCCCTTTTTCCCCCACTGTATTGGGTTAATTCTCTAGCCACAGGAAGATACAGAAATCTAAAGGAAGCACATTTGAGTCTAGTCCTTCACTGAATCCTTGTGCTGACTAAGAATATATATAAAAAGAATTGGACCCTATATTGCTGCAGATTTTCTGATAGTTTAAATCTCAGCACTTGAAACCCAGCGCAACATAGGTAGCTAACACTCCTGTAGCAGTCCGGCAGGTTTTAAATGTCATCTCAGGCATGTTGAGCTGGAGTGAACAATGTGGCATGAGTAATATTTACTGAAAGCACTAAATATCCTGACCCAGAAGGTTGGAGCTGAAACTTCACTTGCACTGGCTGCAAACCAGGGCTGGCTTCCTGATTTCAGCTCGTGTTCCTTCTTGTGTACTTTTCAGCTTAGGCTGCTGTGAGCTTCTGTGTTTCAGTGAGTTGTGTATCTTCTTTCCCCTAAAGATTACTTGTTAGCTATCAGTAAATTAGATCTGAATTACCATCTTTTCATTAAAACATTGTCTATAAAGCAGCAATAAATGCTGAGCATCATAAGCCAAGGCATATCTGGGAGCTTTATATCAAGCTGGAGAAGTTTAGCTTGGTTTTATCAGTTCTTTTGTTTTACTTTTTCAGAAGCTATTTAGACCTGTATTGAGCAGAGAAGTGCGTTGTTTCACTGCTTCTGTGTTTCTTAGAGATGCACAGTAGTAACTGGTTCAAAATCAGTGTCAGAATTTGTATTGAGTTTTAATAGATAACATGTCAGAATTCAAAAAGGAAATGCTAATGGCCATCATCCAGTGATTTAAATTCCTTCTCCTTTTTCCTTAAGGAAAGCAAGCTACAGATCTATACAAGAAACTAGGTGTCAGTATAAAAATAGATCTAGAATGATTTAAACCTTAGAAGAGGTGACAACAACATTGAATCAATGGATTTGTAAACCAGAAGTCTTTGGGAATCGTTCTAAAGAAGGTGGAGCAAAGGAGTTGAAGTTGGCAGGTTGTTACGATCAGTGTTTGAATTGAAACACCAACATGGATCTTCTTAGTTCTTTTGGAAAGTGAAAACACACCATTCAATCCAGCCAGAATTTTTAAGTTAAGACATAAAGATCTCCCTTCTAAGAATAATGCTATGAGGAATTTCTAGTCTCAAAGTCTTATTTCTAGCTTTATTTAGTAAGAAACTAAACACACCAGAAACGATTCAATTTTTGAAGCCAACTAATTTTAAGCATGGCTTATTTTCAAGTCATTTGAGCTATCCTTGTGAGTGGTTTGGGTTTTTAAAGTATAAAATGCTTTGATTTCTCCATTTCCACGCCTGGCTGTAGCGAGGTGCTCTAATGAAGTCCATTTCAATGCACTCCAGTTGCCTCCCCACCCCATGTTTTGTATGATGCCCGTGCTTTTGGTTACTGTTAGATTGCTTTTTTTCCCCTCCAGAAGCATGAATCCGTATGTTTGTCTCTGTAGTTAAATACCACCGTTGCTTTGGGTACCAGAGATGTGTTCAGCGACCACAGGCATCCTCAGCTTTGCAGAGAACAGAATTGTAGATGGCTTTTAAAAAGCTGGGTGTGGTGAGGGGGGTTTTGTCTGCTTTTTCCTTGGTTTGCTTTGATTTGCCCTGTTTCCCCTGCTAGGTGCATTAAAATGCCTACAGTTAATTCCGAATAAGTTATGCATTATGCAGTGATCCTGCAGCCAGCTGGTGCGGAGCATGGCAAAGCACTGACTGGAGAGCCTGACCTCTGGGTTGTGCTCCCACAGGGAATTAAGCTGGCCTAACAGCTCCCTGCTCCTGCAGGGGAAGCGGTTCCATCTCTCTTTCCTCCCTCCTTTGCAGTCTCACCTCTTTCTCCTCTGCAGACTTCCCTGCTGGAATCTTCATGGAGCTGACCTAGCTCTTTACCCCAGCAGAAAGCTTTATGTCCTCTGGTTATTTTATTGGTAGGTGATGTGCCTCATGGAGAGGAATCTGAGCAGCACCCCAGGCAATACAGTCTATGAGACAAAAGCTGAGGGAAGAAGATGGAAAAGGAGGAGCTCAGCTACCTGTAACCTCCCCCTTGCTGATGTGCATAAGCAGTCCGGGGTAGTAGCTTGAGCCTCCGTATTTAAAGTCGGTGGGACAGAGAAACCAAGTAGGTTCTGCTGCAGTACCTATGTTGGGGCCCAAATTCAGCCTAGCCAAGGTAAAGGCTGTTTGAATTTCACATTGACCAAATGTGGAACCATCTCCTTTAATGACAGGATTTCTCTTAGCAAGTAGAACTCGCTCTGAACTGTAAAGCTTCCTCCTGCAGCTGACTGAGGCAAGAAGGGGCCACATGTTAGGAACCTGTTCGAGGGAATTATGTTTGTTGCCCACCTTGATCTTTAATAAGATCTCTGTAATAACAACAGACCC